CGGCCTGCCGCTGACCCCGCGCTGCGTCGTGTCCGGTTGTGTCCTGCAGGCCGAAGCGGCAGCCGAAGCCCGCCTCGGATGAGGGCTACTGGGACTGCAGCGTCTGCACCTTCCGGAACAGCGCCGAGGCCTTCAAGTGCATGATGTGCGATGTGCGGAAGGGCACCTCCACCCGGTGAGTCCCGCGCGCCCGCGGACGGCGACACCCCCGTCCCCCACCCCCCACCCCACCCCGCGCCCGCTTCCCCAATCCACCCCCCATCCCATCCCACCCTACCCCACCCCCGCGTCACGCGGGGGACATCGGGGCGCCCCAGCCGGGCGGCGGCCGCGGTTGGGGCGCGACCCAGCTTCAAGCCGTGGCTTGGCGGCGAGGGGTCGGCGGTGGCGGTGGTGGTGGCGGCGGCGCCCGCTACGCCCGCTGCGGGCTGGGGTGGGTTGGGGGGGGGGATGAATTATTCAAGGGGGTCGCTGGCGGCGGCGGCGGCGGCTGCTGCTGCTGCTGCGATTCTTGTGCGTGGCCGGTGCGGTGCCCCCTTCCCCAGCCTGGCACGAAGACGTTGGCCGCATTGTTGTTAGTGTGCGGGTGTGGGTGTGTGTGGAGGGGGATGGGGGTGTGGAGGAAAGGCTACGATGTCTGTCATTCGACCCTCCGGGGTGGGGAGGGGGGAAAGAAAGTGTCTCGTTGTCCGATCGTAAGAGGTTAAACTTTCTTAGGAATGGATGTCCGGAAGGGTCCAGGCCAAGGTTTTGCGTCTTGGTTTTTTTTTTTTTGTTTGTTTGTTTTGTTCCATTTCTGTAATAGTTTACAGGGAAGTAGTTGGGAGGCGAACCCGGGACCACATTTTTACTCCCGAGGAGCAGAATAGCTGGAGACAAACGTGATTACATGATCTTTGCCTGTTTGGAGCCCTAAATTTGTTGTATGGTAGACATAAGAGTATTATAGTTGTCTTTAAAAAAAAAAAAAAAACCTAAAATCTAGGAAATTCCAGTGGCATTCTTGATCTGTCTGTACTTGGTCATAGGTCCTTTGCAGGAGGGTAGCCTTTGAATTCACTTCTTAGAGTCTTGTGATTTGTAGCAATATTAGGTAAGGTATTTATTTTGATACTACGAAGCCTATTAAAATACACATTAACACAATAAGAATACTTGGAAGTTTCTTGTTGCTTGAAAAAGAGGGCCTATATAATTTTGACATACTCCGAGTAGTCAGTTCAAGTTATTCCTAAAAGTGAGGTATCCTGGTTTTGGATGCAATTTATAGAATTTTATTAAAATTTTAAGTGTAGAGGCATGTCAGAATTTTATTGTCTCCACAATATGAGTTGCTTTTGACATACCAGCCTTGTAAATCTCAATAGGCTTTTACTGTGAACTCATTTGTATTAGATAGAATATTTTCACCATTTCATGATGTTTATTAAAAAGCAAATTTTAAAGTACCTTGTAAGTTAAAAGAAAGATTCTAAAAAGAGAAACTGTTTGCTATTTTTGAACTCACGTTTTAAGCGTTGTGAAAAGCAGAGTGTATCTTTATGTCTATATAAGGACGGGAACGGCTTAGCATGGGATTGTATATCCACATATTTGTAAATAAGCGATATGTAGAACATTTGACTTTCCTTGGAAATAGTGACAGTGACTGTAATCCTGATCTCAGCCACGCTGTTGCTGCTTTTTGGTTTGTTTCCCCTCTGTTCTCTTGTAGCTGTTAGAACGATACTGGAATTAGAAGAGCCTGTTTGTTTATTTGCAGAGACAGCGAGGAAGGGGGGAAGCTGGTGTCCTCCTTGCACAGCCCGTCTTGGGGTTAGAGGAACCCCGAGAAATAGAGTAGGTTGGGACACTCAGAAGAGAGGCAGCAGGCTGAATCTCTGGCTCCTGGAAGAAGAGACTAGCACACAGGGCAGCTGGCCCAGGACAGAGGAGTGGCCTACGTTAGAAGAGGCCTGAGGCCAACCTGGGGGCCCCTGACTTTTTTTTTTTACACCAGTATATCTGAGTTCTTGTAGATCCACTTTTTAGTGGTGGAAACATGACTTGAGGAGGACTCACTGAAGCGTTGTCATGTGGATTGAAACTGAAGAGGCTCTGGGCAACTCACCAGAAGTCTAAGGGACACTCTGTTCCCAAAAGTAAGTGCTCTGCACTGTGACCCTCTCAGCTTCCGCCTTCCTCATTGTCTCTTCTCTTTTGGCTCTGGCCCTAAGACGACTCTTAAGAGCTCTCATTTCTCTGTTATCGGTTACATGTCCTTCTGCTGTTTCTGAAACTGAGAGTGGAATCCACGTTTGGATAGAACAGTAGAACAGGGCGTCGTTAATAAGTAGATACTGATTTCATGCAGAGTATTTCCTTGTCGGAACAATAGGAAAACGTGATTCAAGGACTGCAGAACACAGATGAAAAGCCACCGTTTCAGTGGTTGGGAGGAGTTGTGTTGTGTCCGTGTGTCCCCCCCACCCCCAGTTGGCATGTTTATTAGCAGTTAGAGTAATTTAAAGAATAAGGCTGGCGAGAAGCAGGAGTGGGTAGCTCCAGAGCATAGAGATGCAGCTTGGTAACAAGTTGTTTGTGTGACCTTAGCCAGTACTTGGATCCCTTGGGTCAGAAAGACCTCTGAACTGAATCTGCCTTAGTTGCCAGATGTGAGGCCAAGCCTAAGCCATTCTAGACATCTGAAACATCTTTTTTTTTTTTTTTAAAGTGGGAAGATGGGTTCGTAGTGTTTCTTTAAAGATTTTACTGGAATGGATATATACTTATATATGTAGTTAGATATATTTTTTTGTTTTGTTTGGAGATAGGTTTTTTTCTGTGTAGCCCTGGCTGTCCTGAAACTCCCTCTGTAGACCAGGCTGGCCTCGAACTCAGAGATCCACCTGCCTCTGCCTCCAGAGTGCTGGGATTAAAGGCATAAACCACCACTGCCGGGCTAATATGTAATTTTTTTAAGCAACTGATTCAGATGAGTATTTTCTTTGGCTTCATCTTTGGTAGGTTGCATCATTCTACAGAATGTGTTATATACATAGCAAGTACGTCAGAATAAAATGGGATTGGACATAGCTTATGCTGTTTCTATCCTTGAATTGCATTTTGTATTTGATGGCTTTAGTTTAAATTTGTTTAGTCCTTTAACAAAAATCTAGACTGAACAAGAAGATAGTGCAAGGATCGTAAACTTCTGTATTATGCTTTTATCTAAACAGTGATAGATGTCAGAAAGACAGGGTTCTTTTGAGTAAGCCTTGCCCTGTAGTTCAGGCTAACCTTGAACCCACAGCATTCCTCTTCCCTCACCCTCAGGTCTGAGCCTTCCCAGACAGACAGGGAATATTTTAAAGGAAACAAACCCCCAAAACAGGCGAGGTACCGCCTAGTCTCCTGTATAGCTGGCTCTTGTTTGGAAGTAAGTATCCTAAATAAGAGCATGTGAGACTTTAGGAAATGAACCGTTCAGAGTTGTAGAAGGGAAAGTATTTTGTATTATGAAGGTATTAATTGCTTGCTGGATGATTAAATGAAGATGAGTATCTTCATGTGGGAATGGAAAATTCCTTCCTTCCTTCCTTTCTTCCTTCCTTCCTTCCTTCCTTCCTTCCTTCCTTCCTTCCTTCCTTCCTTCCTTCCTTTCTTCCTTCCTTTCTTCCTTCCTTCCTTCCTTCCTTCCTTCTTTCTTTCTTTTTAGGGAAAGGGGAAGTGAGTGTTGAACTTCAGGCCTCAGGCATGGTACTTCAGTACTCTGATCTGAAGCCACACACTCAGTCTTGGAAAATTACTTTCTCGATTAATTTGGATAGCAGATAGTTACAAATAAAAGTGACAAAGTTGTTTGCTTTGGTTTTGAGCTGTTGTCTGAACGATAGCTGGTAAGTCATCCTAGCCCTACACGGCATTCAAGCATAACCAGTAACGTAATTTCTCAGGATAGGTGTCTGCTTGGTCTCATTTTGGGGAGTAAATTTTCAGGATAGGTGTCTGCTTGGTCTCATCTTGGGGAGATGTGGGAAAGGTGGTGTAGTGGAAAAACTGCTAGTTCTTATGGTGGGCAGGCAGGAGTCTGGTAACTTCATGTCTCATCTGAACCATGTCGGCATTCAGCAAAGTTTCTTTAGAGTCTTTGGTTATACAGAATCTCAGTGAGGTACTCACTCTAGTGAGGAGATTTTAATCTTTTGTTAGTTTTTTTGTGGATGGGAAACACTTTGGGCTATATATAATTTTATAATGAGGGACTGGAGAGGTGGTTCATCAATTAAGAGCACCGAGTGCTCTTCCAGAGGACCTGCGTTCCATTCCCAGAACTCACTTGGCAGCTCACAACCATCTGTAACTCCAGTCCTAGAAGCTCTGATGGTCTCTTCTGGTTTTTGTCAGTAACAGGTACATGTATGGTATATAGACATAAATGCAGGCAAAACACTCATACACATAAAATAAATGAATAATTAAAATAAATTCTTTATGTGAGGTCATATTAATATCTTTCGTGTGACCTAAAGAGATGAAAATTACCTATTAAAATGTATTTTTACTTTATAGCTAACACAGTATTATGGTTAGAATTTCACTGTTGGTAAAAAGTTATTTCAGCTTCTATAAAGTAGGAATAAATTGTAAAGTACAGATTTTGAAGAAACTCTAAAGCAACCAACTATTACCAGGTCAAAATCTTTAAGTGTACCTATTATCTGTCACTGGCTTTCTGTTCATTACTTTGAGGTTTGGTACCAATTTTTCTAGACACTTGGTATAGAGATAAGAGAAGCAAAACAAGGGCCATCTAATTGTCTAGGTTTTCTTTTGAAATACAGTTCCCGGTCCTCCACAACTTGATGAACACGTCTACTTATTATTTAGGGACTTAATCTCAAGGGTTTATCCTCTGTTTATCTTGGGTTAAAGAACTCATACAAGTTCATTGTTTATAGGGAAATTGTGAAGGGGATTAAGTGTTTGGATTGTACCTAGTAATGATTTTCAGAGTGGAAGGAGGAACCTTCTTGTTCTAAAAGTGCTCTTTACAGTAGTTCATCTGTGACGTCCAAGGTGTTTTCACAACAGCACTAAGCTGTGTTGTTCTTTTCCCTGTTAACTGTGTGGTGAGCAGTGCAGAGACAGTGGTATGTGCGGGTACTCACTTTAGTGAGTCGGAGCAGAAGAACTGCCTGCCATTGTATTCAGGGTACCCTTCCCCACCAGTCACTGGAAATCGCCCTGCTTCACCTGAGAGTGCCCCTGCTGAAGCAGGGTAACAGGCCAGTTCTGCTAAGTTTTTCCTCTTAGTAGTCTAACAAAATGGGAAGTACGAATATAGCACTTGTGCTCAAGGCCAAGTGTGGTGGTTGGAGACAAAGGGGAGACACTTGTGTTGTTTCCACTTGAAAGGCTACCCGGAAGACCGGAATTAGTTAGATGTGAGTCTTTGACGGGTATTTTCTGAAAGTAAATGCAGTGAGTGTGTCACATTCGAGAGAAAAATTGGTGGTATTTGCATCAGTGTTATAAACCACGTGAAAACTATACTTTTAAAACCCATAATCAAAATAATGAGCTTTGGTGCTCTGAACACTCAGAAGTTTTTGTATATCTCCCTTTTACTTTTTGCTTTTCTCCGTATGTTTTGTCTGGTAAGATTGGTGATGATATCTGTGAATGTAATTTCTGATATTTTCATGAACTATCTCCACATTTGGAAGAACTGTATAACTTAGTGAGCCGTTATTTCCTGATAACCAATGCAGCGTGTGGCGTTAAAGAGCCATGCATGGGTAATCAAAGTACAAAGTAGAAAGGTCTTGAAGGAAATATCTTGAGAACTTAGTTGATATGGTTTTAGGCTTTCCATTGCAACTAAACTTGAAGAAACAACTACTGGGGCTGGAGAGATGGCTCAGGGCTTAGGAACATGGACTGTTCTTCCAGAGGACCCAGGTTCAATTCCCAGCACCTATATGGCAGCTCACAACTCTGTAACTTCAGTTGCAGGGGATCTGATATCCTCACACAGAGATGGGAGAAAAGCACCAATCCTTGCTCCCCCCCTCCAAAAAAAAAATTTAAAAAAAAAAAAAAAGGAAAAAGAAACAGCTGCTTGGAAAGAAGACTCTCCACAACTGCTTGAAAGAGCAGAGTTGAGGCTGGGTGTGGTGGCCCATGCTGGCACTTCTGTGTCTGGGGGGTAGGAGTAGAACCAGGAACATGGCAGGTTTGAGGTCAGCCTGGGCTATGAAGGAAGGCACTTTTTTTTTTTTTTTTTTTTTTTTTTTAAGAAAAGAAACAATTCTTTTTCTTGTTTTACATACCCGTTGGAGCCTAAGTATATTTCATGTTCTTGGACCAAGATAACATAGTACTAGAAATTAAATGCATAAATAGGTACGACAGAACACTTTGGTTAAGCAGGTGTGGGAATCTTGCCAAAAAGAGCACTGTACACAAACTTATCTTTATTTTGGAAAATGCAGAGATTCTTTGCCCTTATGAAGAATATATCATTTAATTAAAATGTGATGTGTTTTAAGATGAACTAGCAAACACGCATTTGTGTATTTTCTGAACATGGAAAGCAAGCTGTCATGGGTGGTAAAGCCAGGGCTCCGTCACCGAGCTTGCTCTGTTTTTATTGCTAGTACAATATACATAGACGAGAACACAGAAACAGGGTGAAAGAGATGGCCCAGAGGTTAGGAGAACTTGGCTGATCTTCCAGAGGATCATGGTTCGACTTCCAGCACCAGTGTGGCTGCTTGTCAGGGATCCACTGACCTCTTCTGATCTCTTTGGGCATTGCCTGCTTGTGTGCATATATGTTCATGCAGGCCAACACCAATACACATAAAATAAAAATAAATACATCTTGACAAAATCCACAGAAACATAGCTTTTGAGAGCTTGAAGAGATCCGGAGACAAAAAACAGAACTGCTGGTCCACCGCTTTACAGGCCTGTGTTACTCTGCATAGAGTAGGCTCACTTGAGCAGGTACTCTTTCTGCCTCCTAGTTAGTCTGGTAACTGATGATCTCTTATTGCTAAAACTTGCTAACTTGACTTCAGTCTTTTAAGTGTCACCTTCTTGGTCTTTGGTGCTGGTGCTTTTGCTTTTGAATTAAAATATTCCTTCTTTGATA